CCCCGGAGGCATGGCAAACAGAGTCTGCCAGTTCCCGGCGGTGGGACCTGTCTGCCCCTCAGTTTGCTCATCTACCAAATGGAGATGATGTAGAACGCCGTCCCCAGCATCCCTGTCATTCTTGATACTCTTACCTTGCTTCACATTTCCCCATAGCACTTAGCGCCACCCAACGTACCACACGTTGTCATCTTTGTTGAAGCATGTTGCCCCCTCCAACCTAAAATGCCACGTCCATGAGAATAGAGGGATTTATTTTTTCTGTTGGATTCCCTGCTACAACGGCAGTATGTAGATCAATGCCTGGCCCATAGTAGGTGCTCAATAAAATAAATAAGAGCCAATGAAATCAAGACACCTTCTCATGGCCATACAGCCATGAGGTTTCAAAGCCAGAATGCGAACCCAAATTCATGTCCAACTGCCTCCAATGCACAAGGAGGGGGAAAAAGTTCAGAAAAATATGGAAAGACCATCGAGATGTGGCTTCCTTTTATCGATAAGTCTATATTTATTACATGACCAGCAATGTTAAGAGATAAGATTTTGGTTAAAATCTATCAGGTAAAATAATCATTGTGGGAAGATCCCCAAGAGAAGGTTTTATAGAATTATAGTATCAAAGGACTTGCCATCATAGACTTAGAGGCAGAATCTAGAGTGGGTCTTCAGTGGGGGTCATCACCCCCAACTCAGTGATGGCCAAAGAATAGCAAGAATGACAGAGATGCTGGGGTGCCCGGCTGGCTAAGTCAGCGAAGCATGTGACTCCTGATCTGGGGGCTGTGAGTTTCAGCCCCACGTTGGGTGTCGAGATTGCTTAAAAATAAAATCTTGAAAAAAAATGGCAGATGCTGATTTAGATCAGGGTGTTGGGGGACATCTCAGAGGAGGCGATTTGTGAGCAGAGGCCTACAGGAAGCTAGGGGATGAGCTATGCAGGATATTCAGGGTAGAGCATCCTGGGGCTGGGGGAGGGGGAGAAGAGAGAGCCAGCGCAAAGGCCCTGGGGTATGTTTGTGGCACAACAAGGAAGCCAGTGTGGCCAAATGGAGAGAACAAGGAGTGGAAAGAAATGAAACAGGAGACGTGACCAGGGCTAGATCACATGGGGCCTTTTGTAAGAACTTTGGCTTTTATTCTAGGTAAAATGTAGAGCTACTGTAAGGCTTTGAAGCAGAGCATGATGTGACTTGCTTTAGGTTTTAACAAGATCACTCAGGGTGGTGGGTTACAAACAGCCCCAAAGGGGACAAAAGCAAGAGCAGGGAGACTAGGCAGGATGCTTCTGGAATAATGCTGGGACAAGACATGGGCCCTGGTGGCAGCAGTGGGGGTGACACACGTGCTTAGACTCTGGGTATCTTCTGATTCTTGAATTCTAGAATCAACAGGAGGTACCGAGGACTCGGGGATAGGGTGTGCAAGAACGAGAAGAACCCGATTCGCAGTGAGCATGCTCTAGCCGGCAGTGCACACTGGCTCACATGAGTCAATTGTTAAACGTCCGGGTATCTAGTGATTCTGTTGGCACTGTGTTAGTAGCTCAAAATGGGCCATGGTGGGAGTATTTACACCACGGAAACTGGCAAATGCCGTGAATCAAGGTGTTTCTCCCCACCCCACTGCCAAGAAAGCCAGTTCTTGGACACACACCCATTCTACTGGTCTAGAACAATCCCAAGTCCTTTTGTCCTGAGCAGCTGGTAGAATGGATGATTCCTTACTGAGATGGGCAGGTGGAGTGAAACGGGTTTGCAGAAGGGAAATTGGGAGTTTAACTTTGGATACCCTTTATTCGGGAGGCCTTTTAGACACCCCAGGGAAGAGGTCAGAAGGCAGGGAATACGAGTTGAATAGAGTAGCTGTATCGCCCCCACAGGATTACTCTGGGGAGGAAATAAATCCGTGTCTGCAAAGCACTTTGCAAATAGGAAGCACTCAGTGATGAAAATCGCTTTCTTCAACACGGCATTGAGAGAACCTTCATCCCTATGTAGACCAAAGCTTTCAGACTGGTGGCCCCTCAAGTCTGGACCCAGCCAGCAGACACTATTTTTTTTTTTTTTTTTTGGAGTGGGGGAGAGGCACTATTCTAAAAAAAACCAAATTTAAATGATTTCTGGTGGGGATGAACTACCCCTTCCATCACAGATCCCTCCCCTCCACATCACCCCACACTGGCCCCAGTTCCCATTCTCCGTTACTCGCCTGGCCCTCCATGAGTTTGAGTCTGCATTCTCTTGGCTCAAGGCAGCCCATCGCTTTGCAGAGGGGGAATGTGAAGCCCAGAGAGGCTTGGTGCCGGGTCTGGGGCTGCTCAGGGATTCCTGGCAGGGCATGGAGGAGGGAAGTCGGGGCTCCTCTCTCCCCACCAACACTCATATCTGGGGCTGCCAGGATGATCAGAAGAGACAACATCTTCCCCCCGCCCCCCCGCAAGGGGTCCCTTCCTGATGCAGATGCCGGTGGTGGCCTGGCTTTGAGGAACCTAATTGCTCGGGTTCCTGGATCGGCTGCCCCGTCGCGCACTCTGCAGTGGAAATAAAACCCCATCTAGTGTCAAGCGGAAGGTTAATTGAGTATTTGATGCCTAGAGAGAGTGCAATCAAGGGCTCCGGTTTCCTGTCTCCTCATCCAGGCCTGTGACACCAAGGGGAGACATGGGCCAGTCTTGGTGAAGCAGAACTGTGCGTCTGGGGGGCACGCTGGGAGGAGAAGGCCACTTAGCGCAGCAGAAAGGGGGAGCATGGACAACTTCTGGGGGCATGGGGCTGGGAGGACCTTCTGCAAGAGAAGCCAGGATACCAGGAATTAGTTTCTCCTTCGCCTGGCTGAAGATTGAGGTGACTTGCTAGGAACTTTTGGTGGTGGGGTGCTCATAAACCAGGACCACACATTCATATTTATCATCAGGGCTGTAGGGAGCCACAGAAGGCTTCCCAGAGGAAACAGCTTGAGAAAAAGAGTGCTCCATTTGAAGCTTCAGCTAAGAAGATGTCAGGTCTCCCTTGGACCCTTTCCTTCCGTAACCCATACCTGATCTCCATGCTCCAGCCACATTAAACTTCTTTCAAGTCACTAAGCTGGCCACCTTCTCTCTCAATTCCAGGCTTTGCACATTCTGTTCTCACTGTCTGGGACACTCTTCCTTTCCCCTCATCATTGTCTACCTTCTCTTTCATCCCAGCTCAGAAGTCCCTTCCTCCTGGAAGCCCTCCTTGGTTTCACTGAGGCCTCCCCAGCGGCCTGTCCTCCCTATCACTGCTCTCACCACGCCGCATATAGTTTCATGTCTGCCTCACCCACTAGATAGTGAGGGCAGAGATGCTTCTGTTTTCTCACAACTGGACCTCCGGCGCCTGGCTTAGTGCTTGCACACAGTAGGTGCATATGTATTCCCCCCCCCCCCCAGAGCTAATAGAGACCATCCAACCTGCTCTGCTCCAATATAAACTTTACTGTGCAAGGGGTAGCTGCCAGAGCCTTTCCAGTGCCTACAACCGGGCTTGGCTCATAGTAGACAACTCAGAAACTACTTCTTGAGTGAATGAGCACTTCATACCAGACTCTAGAAGTCAGAGAGTTGAGAACAGGAGGAAGGGGTGAACTGGCACCGAGGAGTGAGCGAGGGTGGGAACGGGCAAGGGATGCTTACAAGCTGCCTCCAGTAGCCACAAAACACTGATGTTCCAAGACCCTCGTAACCGATGGGAAAAGCCAAAGCCAGAGAGAAGCCCAAAGGAAACAGCTGGGGAGGGGTGGGGGCGGGATTCTGACCCAGGTTGGCCTGGCCCCAAGTCCACAAAGGGCAACTGTGCAAGGTCTGTAAATCTTCGATTCGACTGGAGCAGAAGATCCTGGGGCAGCCTCCGAGGACACCTCCCCAGCCTTTAAGGGACAGCTTCAAAATTTCATCATAATTTTGCAGATAACTCCCCTCTTGCAAGTCTCCTCTGAAGAGCAAGGCAGCCTGGGTCTCGCTTCCCAGCCGACTGCGTTTCTACTTCAGGCTGGAGGGGAGCGCTGCCCTCCCCCCTACGCCCCCCCTCCCCCGCAGCCGGGGGCCTGGTTGCCTCCAGAGAGGCTCTTCAGAACTTGGCATTGCCCCACTGCCCTCCACTGTCCAAGCCATGGTGTCTGGGTCTGCCCAGAAGCCCTTTCTTCTCCTTCTCTAGACACGACCATCTGTCTCTGTCTGTTTCTCCCCATCCCTGGGGAGTTCAGCAGGGGGAAAGTTCTGGATGGAGCATCTCATGGGCACCCCCACTGAGTACAGCAAACAGCCACACAGCCGGGTAACTCCATCCATTACTATAGTTCTCCATGCAGCACTGGTCTCCTGAGTGCCCACTCTGTGGCAAGCTCTGTGTTAGATCCCAGGACGGAGATAAATCAGAGCAAGCCCTGCAGACTACAGGGACCTTTGGGTCTAGTTGAGAGAGACAGATAAGAAAACAACCTGCTATGGTACAGACGGTATGCGTTATACCTCCCCCCGCCTCCTGACCACACTGGTTTGTTCAGTCCTTCGAAAATGCTGTGCTTGTTCTTGCCACAGGGTCTTTGCTTATTCTGTTCCTTTCAGCTATATTTACTGCAGCTCATTCACTAGTTCTGAGCTTTAGTATCGGATCCTCAGGGAAGGCTTTCCTGACCTTCCTCTTTGTATCGAATCCCCATTGTAAGATCTCATAGCACCATTCATATATCCTTACATTGCTCACCAAATTTACGGTATGCCATTGTGGGTGCATTTCTACTTTCAATGCCTGCTTCCTCCGTAGACAGAATGTCTGGAGGCTAGGTTGTGCATGATGTTTTCGTTCGTCTCTGTGTGCATGATGTTGTCGTTTCTCCCGCCACTGGGACTCCAGCTCTTTGCACACAGTCCCTGACACCTAGCAGATGCTTCCTTAACACTGGCTGAAAGAACAAAGTGGGACCCATCTCTTCCCCAATCAGGTTGGACTGGAGGTCCACCCATCATAAACACTCACAACTGGATATCTAAGAAGATCCGTTTCTCCTCCCCTACGTGAATCTTCCAGATACAATCTTCACCTTCCACATACGGCTCTGGCCAGTTTGGGGACAGCACCACCCCGGCCACGGCAGAGAGCTCCCCACCACACATGGCTGTAGAAGACAGAGACAGATAGACAGAGACAGATGCACGTTATTCAGAAGGAAGCCAGTATGGCATAGGGATTAAGTGTGGGCTATGAAGTCAGACTGTCACGGCTCGCCATGTACCAAGAGCAGGTGCCTGCCCCTCAGGCAGTCTGTGCATGTGTGGGGGATGATTAAGTTAGGGCTGGCTGCCTGCCTCCATTAGCTGAGTGTTGGTGAAGGAGGGGCTAAGGGCGCTGTGGTTCTTTCAGGATCAAGGACAGAGCTCAATGTTCCAGATGATTCCTCAACAGCCCTATTCTTGGGCACGGCGAGTAGTGGCTAACAGATGCTACATTCCATTCAGGTGGACCTGGGTTCGAGTCTTGCCTCTGCCCCCACAGACTCAATGACGAGGCATGCAACCTTTTGGAGTCTCAGTTCCTTCTCTCTGTAAAGCTGCAGTAACACCACTGCTCACTGGCTCTGTTGGGTTATTCTGGAGTTTAACTGAGCTCATGGGGGTCAAATGCAGCAGAGCACCTGACCCAGGGTAAAGGCTCAATACTTCTTAGTTAACATTACTGCCAAAGGGCCCAGCTTTGAGCTGGAAGTAGAGATGTGGCCGTGCTCTGCGCCTGGCTCTTTAAATTCCACTCTGTTTACCGCTTTGGAAAGTTCTCAATGTGGCAGAGGCCAAAGCACCAATAAATTCCGCTCTGTTAAACCAGCACATTTAATACAGGGATCAATCCCTCACCACGACGAAGCTATGATTTCCTGCCAACCGCCATCCAGGCGGCGGCTGCCGGAGCCAGGGCTATCTTCATTACACCACATGCTCCAAGTGCATCCAGGCTCAAGGGGGCTCTGTGGCCTTGAATATGGGAAGAGAGGCAGGGCCGGGCAGTGAGAGCCCATGGAAATGAGGGTTCTACCCAGCCAGTGCTGTCCAGAGGGGCTCAGAGCATAGGGCTCTGAGGACAGAAAAGACCCAAGTTTCATTTCCACCTCTGCCAGTTACCCTTAGTCTGTTCTTAGGAATATCACTTCACAGCTTCAGGTTCCTCACCTGTACATGGGGTCAATGCTATGTACCTCACAGGGTCGTAGTGAGGATTAAATCAGATAATGCACATGTAGCCCTTGTCAACTATTATTAATATCATCATCATCATTATTAATTAAACTCAGGGCTGCCATGTGTGGTTGGGTGGGTTGTGCACTGCACAAAAGTACACAGCAAGGGGGGTATAGAGGAGCTGAACTCCAGGCAGAGATCTTTTCACTAAGCTATGTACTACTACAGGGTCTGTGCTTGGAGGAAGGGGCACCTTTAAAAATTTATCAATTTTGGAATTTTCTTAAGGACAGGCAGCAAATCTGACCCAAAGGATAGTGAGCCCTGGAAAGGGTTCTAATGCTAAAACTGGTTATGTAAATTTGCGATATACTTCTAGACTCCTCCCTTGGCCTTTTCTTCTGAGGGGGTGGAGGTCCCTGAGGCACCTCGGGAGAAGGACAGTGGGGCCACTCACCTCTGCATAGGGGCTCTGTGTCATTCCAGTAGGGGTCCCGCACATTGATGCACTCGATAATGGCTGGACCCTGCTCCAGAGAGTGGCCGGGGTCACAGGTGAACTCCACTATGGTTCCGATGTTATAGGTCGGGTCAGATGTGGTGAAATTCCCATTCTGAATGTAGGGCTCATAACAGTGGCCCTTCTCAAAGGCTAGGGTGGGGATACAAAAGAGGGGGAGCAGCTCAGATGAAGCAGGGGCTCCTCATAGTCCTCGATCTCAGAAGATGGGTCCCCTCTTGCTGTTTAGGGAAACTCCAAGGAAAATGGGCACCAGACCCTGTGTTTCAATTCCAGCTGACCTGCTCAGGGCCCTTGGACCATTCACTTCGTTTTTTGGGACCTCATTATTTTCATCTCTAAGATGGGAATCCAAACTTCTGCCCTCCCAACCCTGCAGAGTCCGCCTTTGGAAGTCAAAGGGTCAGTCTGGCCGCCTGGGTCTCCTTTGCTCTTATCAGGTCAGATTTCTAGCTCCCAGGACCCAGCCCAGCTCTGCCATGCTTCCTCTTTGCCCACGCCATTGGGGACACTCACCCTCGAACCGGATGTTGAAGGCTGAGGCTGCTCGCGCCTGGTCAGAGGTGAACTCAATGCGGATGCTGTTGCCCTCACTCAGCAGACCCTCAAAGGGGACATTCTCGGTTTGGAGGGAGTCATAGAGAAGAGCAGACTTGTTGGTCGGGCCACTGTAGACCATCATCCTGGTGGGAGGAGGGGGAAGCACAGGAGGATCACTACACCTGTACAATGAATACCACCTCTGGAGCCTCATTTCCAGACGCAGATCCCGACTTCGCCCCTGACTTCTTCAGACAAGCTGCACCACCTTAGGCAACCTGTTTCCTCTTCTGTAGAATGCTTGTCCTAGACTCATGGATGGATTCTAAAGTTGTAGGAAAAATGATGCATGTGATGTAATGAATCAAACTAATTAATGGATACTAATTATTATTACTAATTGAGAAGAAGAGATTAATGGGCTGAAAGAACGGTAGTCAGACAACCCAGAATCCCAGTGCTGTAACCTTTTGAGCTGTGTGACTTTGGACAAGGACACTTCACATGACGGAGTCTCTGTTTCTTCATCTGTAAAATGGGTACAATCACACCTACTTACATCAGAGTATAGGGGTTAGAGGCCATGTGCATAATGTGCCCAGGATGGAGTAGGTATATAATTCAAATTTTTTAAGCATTTGACTCCTAACAGGCTTTGTCTTTTATTCTGATATCCTAAGAGCTCTGTGTGTGGAATCAAGAGTTCTGATTTTCACTTCCTAATTCTCCACCGATTGGGTTTATGTAAGTCTCAGCACATTGTGGGCCTCAGTTTCCACAGCCATGAAAGGAGGGATCATAACATCTCTCCTACCTATTTTACAGGTGGGCTTTGAGAATACAACAGGATCAAGTGCCCTGAAAAATAAAATGTGCTACAAAAAATGTTGGTATTCATTTTTATTGTTATTAAAACCATTTGATACTTGACTCCTTGCTACTCTTGGTATTTTTAAAGAAATTATGCAAAACTAGGGAAAGAAATAGTATACAAATTAGATAAATTTCTTTTATGGAGTCCTAAACAGACATTTTAAAATCCTCTGAGGTTTTTTTTTTTTTTTTCACCGTGACTCATAAAAAGGGTTTATCTTATGCTGCCCAGATGAATTTCTAATGTTACCAAAATGCATAAATGTTGAAGCCACAGTTTGTTCATTTTGCCATGTGTCCACCGTGGTTGGGATGAGGAGGGGCCCGGCTTCCCAGTCAGCTCAACCAGCTCAAAGGGTGGGGGCCGGTGCTGGGGAGTTAATGTGTCCAGGAGCATCTCTCATCCAATGATGGATGGGGGGGTGGTAGATAAATACCCCAGCTCCCTCACCCCTCCAAAAGGACCACTCTGAGGCATGCTCAATAGTTTCTTGGAGGCCCCCAGTGGATACAGCCCCAGCTGCCCCCATGGTGACTTGCTCATTAACACAAACTGTGTTGACTCCTTTCCCTTCCCTGCCCACTGTCCCATGCCTCTACTAGTGCTTCCTCGGATTAACTCCCAAATGAGAACTTCCCCTAACATCCTTGTCTCCATGTCCATTTCCAAGGGAACACAACCTAAGGCAGCAAATCTAAGCAGCTAAAGCCCTATTTTCTAGAATATTTGAGAATATTCTAGCATAAAGTCATAGACTATGAAAGTTTTAAGATTCTGGATTCTATGAGTATTACTTAGAGTTTACAGACATGCTCTTGCTTAAGTATCGCCTTGTAACTTCTCCCTAGCTCCTTCCTGTCTAGTATTTCCACATCAGTTTCCTATCAAACCAAAAACCACGTCTCGCTACTTCTCTCCGGTTCTCCATGGAGCTTAGTGCATGTCTGGGTGCTGAGCAGGTGCTCAGCGAGTACTCCCTCCTTGATAACTGCAAAGAGGGATGTGCAGGAGAAATAGGCCTCTTTCTCTATTCTGATATGCGCCCTGGGGCAAGTCCCTTTCCCTCTGTATGTCCGAGTTTCCTTACCTGTAAAAGGAGGAGATCAAAGATGGTGTCTAATATCCTTGCTGACCTCCCCAGCCCTTCCTTTCTCTACCTCCACAAGCCATTTCAAGACTCCAGATACCTAGCCACATTCCGACACTCTGGGAAGGAAGGAGGCTGCTGGGGTAAGCCCTCAGAGGCTTACCTGTCCTTCTCATGCAATGACAGCCTCTCGAAATGCAGGTGTAGCTTCTGGCCCTCTGGAGCTTCGATGGTCCACACGCAGAACTGGCTCCCATTAGTGTTTCCTGGGTAACTTGGGGAGAGGACCCGGCCAATGGTGGCATTGTGCACAGCCCCTCCACAAGGGGCTGGGGGTGGAAAATAGGGGGGGTGATCATGAGAGGAGAGCAGAGAGAGAGATCCTCACCCCTACCCCTCAGTGGAAGGCAACAGGATTGGAAGAGGGAGACATGGTAAAAGGTTTCTCATCTTGGATGAGTTTCATCCTGTTTGAGAGGAGACCTCATGCCATGACTGGATCCACCCCCTTGTGTGTTCCATGGTAGGGAACAACTGTGATTTAAGGATTCTTCCATGGCGCTGGCTGTGCCCTGATTCTTCACTATAAGATGGTAATCAAGGACATAAATAGGCAGTCCACAAAAGAAGAAATACACTTTTAGTATTTAGTAAGCACTAAAAATGCAGCCTCATTCATAATGAAAGAAAGGAAAATCTAGATTGTATTCTATTTTCATCCACCTGATTGGTCAAGGTAAAAGGCAGTCATAACTTGCCAATGGGAAACATGGTGGGAAATGGGCACTCTCACTCATAACTGGTTAGAATGCAAATTGCTATGACCTTTCAGGAGAGCAATTTGGAGAAAAATCTAGAAAGTATGTTCCCAAACTCTGACTTAGTCATTAAAGTTCCAGGAATTTATGTTAAAAAGAAGATTTGGAGATTTTCACCAAGATTTATGAATGAGAGTGTTCACTGCTGGCATGCTTTTAAGAGGGAAAAATGAGAAGCAACACACATGTCCACTCACAGCTATTTGGTGGAATAAATGCACTCCATTCACTTGCTATTAAAAATCATGTTCTTAAAGAATACTTGAGAATATAGAAAAATGCTCCCTATATTTTAAGTGGGGGAAAAACAAGTTACAAAATGGTCTGTCTGCCATACCTATTTCAATGAGCTAATTGCAAAAATCTATTGAGACCATAAATATAAAAGTGATTTGCTTCTATCTTTACACTTTTGAATTTCTTGAAAATTTTTTAATCAGAATATATCTTATTTTTATCATAAAATTGAATGAAGAAATATTAAAAAATAATTTGTGAACGGGAGGGAGATAGACCAACGTGAGGAAGTAGTCTGTTTCTTATTTTTAGGAGATACTTGGGTCTCATTAAATGTTTGTTGAATGACTGCATGACTAATAAGGACTTGCAGTGGGCGAAAAAGGTAGATAGCTCTCTGCTCTGCTCTGGATTGTGCTGATTTACAGCAAAGACATTGCCAAGAAGCCCCTTCCTCACCCCCACCTCCCCAAATACTTCTTTCAGCCATGGACAGAAGTGTGTGTGTGTGTGTGTGTGTGTGTGTGCGCGCGCGCGAATGCTTCTGTCTGTCTGTCTGCCTGTCCGTCTGTGTCTCTGTGTGCATTTCTGTCTGTCTCTTTCCTGACTGCCTTCCTGTCCTAAAGTAGAGGTTTAAACCCCACCTGTGCCACTCACCTGCTGTGGATCTAGAACGGAAACTCTGTGAACCTCAAGTTCACTCTTAAAACATGTTAATGATTCCACCCTGCTTATAGGGCTGTGGTGAGGATTCAATGAAATGATGCATGTAGGGGACCTGGCACCATTCCTGGCACAGAGTAGGTGCTGAAAACACAGCCAGCATTGTTGTCCAATGGCTCAGGAGCTGAGGAGACGGAGGACACTGTCCCTGGTGGGGGGCACCGGCCATCTGTCCTCCACAAGCTGTTGCTCATCGGCTGCCTCTCTGCTCCCCTTCCTTGCCTTATTAAGCCAACTGATGGCTCTGTTTGGCTTCAATTTGCCAGCAGTGGCTCCCCATCCATCTTTCTTAGCACAAATTGAGGCTTAATTCCTCTCTGATTTCACACATAGATAAAAATTAACGTGAGAGAGGCACAGAGCCCAACTGCCCTATCGTTTGGATTTTTTCCTTTTGTTAAAAAGCAAAGAAGAAAAATTCTGAAGGTACTTGGGGGAACAACACTGCAACAATCAAATCTCGGAATGTGTCATCAGGCCTCATTTGCTTTCAGATTCCCCTGACTCTGAATGCCTGGAAGGAAGGAATAATTTATTATTATTCCCAGTAGTCTCCTTGTTCTTGGCTCGTGCCCTGGCACACAGTAGGTGCTCAGTTATTACAGGCGACCTATGCTCTCCTGACCACCATTGGAACTTTTGAGAATCTAATAGGGTTTTGCTCTCTTGAGAGCTGAGGATGGTCAAGGCTATGCCTAGAGGTACAGGGACGGTGTGACATAACCCAGAGCTCCTCAATCTATAATGTACGTGTGAATCACACAAGGGCATGCTAAAATGTAGATTTTGATTTAGCTGGTCCTGTAGGGGGTCCATGATTATGCATTGGTAATCATCTTGCTGGTCTGTAGACCACGCTTTGAGAAAAACAACTCAGGAGAGAAGGGCTCTGGACTCGTTTCAATTTCTGTCTGGTGACTTTGGGCAAGTGACTTCACCTCCATGAGCCTCTGTTTCCTCATCTGTAAAATGGAAGTAATGGTTCTCATCACGTAGCATTGCTGTGAACATTTATGGCAGCCCTGGCAATGTCTCAGTATCTATTGACTGGGTTCAAAATGTGGCAGCAGGCACACCAAAAGCACAGACACAGAAGAAGAAAATAGATAAATTCCACTTTGTCAACATAAAAAGCTTTTCTGCATCAGCGAACACTATCAAGAAGTGAAAAAACATGGGGCGCCTGGGTGGTGCATCGGTTAAGCACCTGACTGTTGGTTTCGGCTCAGGTCGTGATCTCAGGGTCCTGGGATTAAGCCCTGAGTGGAGTTGGGCTCCGCGCTCAGCAGGGAGCTTGCTTGTGGAGTCTCTCTCTCCCTCTCCTTCTGCCCCTGCCCCTGCTCATGGTCTCTCTCTCTCTCAAATAAATAAATTAATTAAAAAAAAAAGAAGTGAAAAAACAACCCACAGGGTGGGACGAGATATAGGCAAATCACATTCCTGATAAGGATCTAACATCCCGAATATATAAAGAACAACAATAAAAAAACAAAAAGTTAAAAAAAACCAGGCAAAAGACTTGAATAGGTACTTCCCTTAGGAGATCTACAAAATGGCCAAGAAGCACAGGAAAGTTGCTCAGCATCATTAGCCATCAGGGAAATGCAAATCAAAGCCACAGTGAGAAAGCTTCATGCCCACCAGGACAGCTAGGATCATGAAAACAAAACATAATAACATAGTAAGTGCTGGCGAGGATGTGGAGAAATCGGAACTCTCATACAAGCCAGGTGGGAAAGCCAAAAGGAGAAGCCTCTGCGGAAAAGAGTTTTACAATTCCCTAAAAAGTTAAACACAGAACTGCCATATGACCCAGTGGTTCCACTCCCAGGTGTGGACCCAGGAGAAACGAAAACATACGTCCACACAAAAACTGGTACACAGAGGTTCACAGCAGCGTTACTCATCATCGCCAAAAAGTGGGGAAAACTCCAGCGTCCACCAATGAATACACTGATAACCACACACGGGCATATGGCTCAGCCACAAAAAGGAACAAGGTACTGACCCATGCTACAACATGGGTGAATCTCAAACACACGATCCTGAGCGAAAGAAGCCAGTTGCAAAAGACCACGTACTGTATGATCTCCTTTACACGAAATGTCCAGAATAGGCATGTCCGTTGACACAGAAAGCATGTTGGTGGTTGCCAAGCATTGTTGGGGGGGGAGGGGAAAGTGGGGAGCGAGTGCTAATGGGTATAAGGTTTCCTTCTGGGGTGATGAAAATGTGCTAGAACTACAGAGTGGTGATGGTTGCATGGCATCTCAGATGTGCTAAGTGTGGCTAATGGTAAATTTTAGGTGATGTGTACTTTTTCACAAACTAAAGATTTCAACGGCAGCGGTTGTCCGTCTTGGGGGCAGTCTCTTCCCCTGGGCTGTGCGCCTATCCCTAAGGTCAGTCTAATGCCCTGGGGTTGTTGTCTCGCCCCTGAGGGAACTATCCATGTCTGGTCCGGCGAGGTGGGAGCGTACCTGAACAGACGGGCTCCTCGCTGCTCCAGTGTGGCTTGGAGGCGTTCATGCAAGTCAGCGTCTTGGCGCCCTGGAGCTCATAGCCCAGGTGGCAGTGGAAGTGGGCCACCCCGCCCGGGTGCAGGTCCATCACCGTGACATCCCCGTAGTCGGGCCGGCGGGGAAAATTGCAGCTCAGCATGAAGGCTGGAAGAAATGCAAAGGCAGACGGTTATCCCTTAGGAGCGGGGAGAGGAAGAACATGACTCACATCCCGGGAGCCAATTTGTGCTGAGGAGAAAAGGTGAGGCCCCTGTGGACTCCAGAGCACTGGCGGGGGGCAGTATGTGGGTATTTTTGGAATTCTCGTTGATCATATGATGAGACCGCCAGATTGGCACTTTTTCTGGGCTCCAAGTTCCCCACCCTGTCTAACCAGAGACCACAGGTTTGGGGTGAAAAATGAGTTCCCACACCTCTTGTGAGCCTCTCTCCATGTGGACGCAGAACGGCCTTCTCCTTGGGTGTAGGAGGGGCCATATGACTCAGGTAAGTTTAGTCCTACCAGCACGAACGTCTTCGGGGTTTGTTAAAAATGCACACACGCTTGGACCAGAACTAGAATAGGCAGCTCTTCAGGAAATACTAAAGGATAGGACAGCCTGAAAATAACCGTCCTGGCACACACAGGCGTGGCCTTTGGAGGAGACCCATGTGAGTTTATGTTCTTCCTCCATCCCTTAGAAACTGTGTGACCTTGAGAAAGGGACACAGTGCCCTGAACTTGGCTTTCCTCATCTTTCCAGTGGAGTTGACAGTCGTCCCTACCTCACCGGTGGCAGTAAGGATTAAGCAGGAAACACCGTGGAAGAGCCTCCTTAGTCCAACATCTAGCCGGGGGCTGTAGAAGGCTCTAGCTGGCCATGCTGAGCTCCTCAATTTTCCTAAGAGGATGTGAAATCCATCCTAGCTGCCCCTTTCGGCTGTGTGGTCTGATCACTCCCGCTGCATGAGGTATCAGTGATCCCAGAACTCACTGGGAGGATTACATCCAACCCAAGGGCTCTACAAGCTATTTCTTCACCTCCATTCTGTAATGAACAAAGACAACAGCGGGTTGTCTCAGTCTTGGAAAGTGGTGATGAGGCAGGTACTCTCATAGACACTCATCCCCCTGTTTCAGAAACATCCAAAGGCAAAGTTTCAAGAGAACTGTTTTTCCAGATGTTCAGTCAGTATGATGCCAACATGGACGGTGCCCAAATATCCAGATGTGTGAGGGCGGACTCCACTCTCCATGCAGGTATCCGGCAAGGACAAAGAGGAGCTTCTGGCTCAGGGAAGTAACCTGAGGTCATGCATGGGAAGGGCTCCAGTGGTAGGAAAATGGGATGAGAGGGAGAGAGAGAGAGAGAATCAGCCAGCCAGAAGGAAGGAAGAATGGAAGGAAGGAAAGAAGAGACAGAGAGAAGGAAAGGAAGAAGCAAAAGAGGCAAAAAAAAAAAGAGGGAGGGGACCGAGAAGTAAGAAGCAAGGGAGAGAGACGAGCAAGACGAACACAAAGCAAGAGAGGAGTCTCAGAAACAGACAGAAAGGAAAGAAAGAAACATTGCAGAAGAAAAGAGAGAGCCGGACCCCCCGGGGGTTGAGGCTCTTTACTGGAAGGCCATGGGCCCCCTGGGGATTCACTTCTAAAATTCAGGAGCCGCCGATCTGAATGGGAAAAAGTGGTTTGCTGGTTTTCCATTTACCTTTAACCGAACTGTGGTATTTCCTTCAACCACATATGTAGGCAACAGACTGTGACCTATTTGTAGAACCAGTGACTTCGTCACCAAGAGAAATCACAGATATTTTCATATCATAGTAGATATCTTGGCATATTTCTTATGTTCCTCAGTACTTTGGAATTATAGTAATTATCAGAGCTGCCGGGGGAGATTATTATTTAATGTGTTAATAAAGAAGCACAGGGATTAGGACATCGCAGATTAAAACAATATTTTGACAACTGTAATTCAATCTGACTGGTTTCGTTTTTAATTGTGTAGATTTTATTTTATGCTTTCAAAAACATGATTCTGAGACGGGGTCCAGAGGTTTTACCAAACTGCCAGAGGGATCCCTGGCATGAAAAGCTTGAGAATCCTTGGCTCCAGAGGGAAACTGAGACAAACAGCTACGGCTCCTCCCCCGCCTCCATTAGCCTTGGTGCAAGCTTACCCTGATAGTGCAGCTGAAAAGTCCCAAGGACGTCATCCTGGAAGGTCCGGAAGTAGACAGAGATGGTGTTGGTGGGACTTCGGATAACCTGTCCCTCTACCAGGAGAGTCTGGTTGGCCAGGACAGTCAGGGTGGGACCATCCACCCCGCGGATGGAGAGCAGCTCGCCGTCCGACAGGTTCACGCTCTTCACCTGCGGACAGGCAGGGGCAGACAGAGAGAAACTCTGAGTTGTGCTTGAGACAGGGTCCTTCCAGGCTGTGCAGCTCCCAGAGGACCCCAGATGATGCCAACACAGTAGCCTTCAGCCAGCCCCTAGTCAAGGGGACAGACAAGCCCCCTTGGAAACATCTAGAGCCCTGGAAACATCTAGACTCCCCTCATCTCCCCAAAGACTGGGGGACCAGCGTGAACCCAAGCTGCAGGGCAAAGGTACTGCAAACATCTGTAAGTGTCCATGGATGAGTCCTGTAAGAGAGCCTCCTGCACACTGGCAGCTGGGGTAAGTGCTCCTGGAGATGGTGGGGGGAGGGCAAGGGCTTGATCAGCTTGTGCCTGAAGTCCAAACTCCAGGAAGACAGAATAAGGCATTCCACCAGAATGTAAGCTCCATGAAGGCAGGCATTTTTCCCCCCATTTGTTCCGTGTCCCCAGTGCCCAGAAGAGTGCTTGGCACATAGCAGTTGCTCAATAAATATTTATGTAGGTTGAATTCATTTTTCCCCTTTCTGCATGAACTGGTAAGAGGGAGTGGGGGGCTCCTTTCCAGGGCATTCTCAAAGCCACTCTCTTATGCTATAAAACGGTGGCTCTAACTCCCAGAACTTCTGCAAAGAACTGCAGACTGGATTTATATAGAAGTGGAGTAGGGGCTGTGTGGGAACTTTAGTCAGTTCCCAGTGCCCAGTTTGGATTTTTATGCCTCTCCTAGTGAGGTCTGGGATCCCAGTCCCTCTGCCCCTCACCCAGGCAGGGCTGGCCTCCCTCACGAGCCCTTCTTTGTGCAGATTATACACCTTACTCTTTTTTCCTTTTTGATGAACTCCTATTCATTCACCAAAGCCCCACTAAAATTGCCCTTCCCTGTGAGACCTTCCCTGCTACCAAGAAGCCTGCCCGTCTGTGCACTGTGATGCTATAACATCCCCTATAAATACCCACAAGAGACCTTTTCAAGCATTCTAATGTCTTCTAAGTATGTCTGTCTCAATCATAAAACAGTGAACTCCTTTAGGGGAGGTACTGCATCAGTTTGCACACCACCATATCCCTCCTACTGGGCTATCCCCCAATAGCCATGGCTGGTACATAGTAGGTACTCAGTGAAGGAACTCTGTACCTGGTAAAGAGCTCCATACAGTGTTAGACACCAAGTGGAAGGAAAGGGACCATCGAGTGCCAGATTCAGATGGGCTGTAACCTTCCTCCAGCTCATTTTAATTCCATGAACATTTATGAAGTACCTACTATGTGCCACACACTGTGCTAAGCTCTGGGGGCTGGAAAGACCACAGGTTCTGCTGCTGAGGGGCTTACCTTTTATCCTTCCCATGCAAGTCAGAAAAACTTCCCTAAAATAAAGTTCTGGTTAGGTCACAACCAGCCCAGTTCAAAAACTTTTGAGGGCTTTTTGTTGTCCATTAGAAAAAGATACATATCCAGACCTCCAACCGTGGCCTGGAAGGGTCTGTCACCACGAAGTGGTATGAGCTTTCTTTTCCAGTCCTCTCCTGTGGGGCAGTGAACTGGACAGTTCCCCACTTCCAGGCACCCCTCCTTGTTCCTTTTTTCAAAAATGGGGGGTGGTCAATTGGGGAAGGCCAGGAACTAGGGTGAGGATAATTGGTAACATACACCGAGCAAGGCTCTCTGGCTGAATGCTCTGGGCGTTGTCATATTTGTACCACCCTGAAAATCTGTAAAGTAGTAGCATTATCATCTCTATTTTCCTGATGGAGAGACCGAGGCTCAGAGAGGTAAAGTCCCTTGCCCAGAGTCACACAGTTTTCACGGGTAGAGTTGGGACTTAAACCCAGATGTTTGAGCACTCTGCCACTCTGCTTTTCCATTCTTCATGTACAGGCAAAATTTTATGAATCAGATTGAATTGGTGGGGCATCCCTATGTGTGTGTGCGTGCGTGTGTGTGTGTGTGTGTGTGTGTGTGTGCGTGTGTCTGTCTGTCTGTGTTTGATACAGGGTATAAGAGGACTTTCCTTCTGAGTATAATGCCTCACAATTTATCAACAGGTCCCCCTCCTCCACATGTGCCTATTTCAGCTGTGCATTGAGTTGGGAACTCCTATTCATTCATTCATTCAACTCCTATTCATTCAGCTCAAGTTGCCCTGCTTAGGGCAAAGAAGGAACCAAATCAGTTAGGATGATAACAGTAAACCTGAGTCAGACAACCCTCCGGAGACTTCCTGCTAGAAGAGGCAGGCACTATCTGGGCACCTTTCTGCAGTTACCTGGAGCTCCACACCGTAGCCAGTGTAGACCGTCACGTTGTACGTACACTCCAGGAAGCCGCTGAGGGGCAGCGGTGGGTAGTCACTGGAGTCGATGTACCCTTCAGGATCGGAGAAGCTCACACTGCAGGGAGCTGGAGGAAGGACTTTCATTAGGACACAGAGGACAGCTCAGATGTCATGTCTCAGATGGGCTGCGGTGTGGCCCCCGGCTTCTGAGACACCTGAATTCACCTGTCCCCCTCCCTCCCACTGCTGCTAATTCTCCTTCAGCCCCAGAATCAACATGAAAATCAAAACTGCGAGAGTTGACACAGCATGATTGCTTACTCCATACCCCTAGGCACCATCCTGCCCGGTGTACAGGGCCCACCCCATTCATCCTTGCAGGGCCTGACATTTCATCCCCATTTTAGAGATACATAAACCGAAGCTCAGAGAGTGGCAGTGTCTGGGCCAAGCTCACACAGGGAGCAGGATTCAAACCCAGAACTTATACTTTTTAAGGAGAGGCCACAATGCATTTGTCCAAAACCCACCTACGATTGAAAAGTTGGTGTCTGTCTTCTCTGTTTGAAGACAGAAAAGAAGACAGAAGTAAGACTGGGACACAGAAGTGCATTTTACCAAGTCTGGAGAAGTACCTGTAATGGTCAAAGTAAAAGCACTTTGAGGGGTGCCTGCTGGTGCAGTCGATGGGCATCAGACTCTTGCTTTTGGCTTGGGTGGTGGTCTCGGGGTCTTGAGATCAAGCCTGGCATCAGGCTCCACCTCAGGGGGGAATCTGCTTGAGGATTCTCTCTCTCCCTCTGCCTTTGCCCCTCCCCCCATGCGTGCGCACATGCACGCGTGTGCTCTCTCTCTCTCAATAAATAAATAAATCTTAAAAAAAAAAGGCACTTTGAAAAGGCTAGGGCCTTCAGGCAGGTTAAAGGATTCTATTCCAAGCTGAAAAGGGTTTGAATCCCACTCTTGAGCTGTGTGGTCTCGGGCAACTTGCTTGATGTCTCTGAGACTCAACTGTCTCATCTTTAAAATGGGGATATTAATTGAGAGACACAGGGTCAAGCTCACAGTCAGTGCTCAATAGATGGTAAGTGATGGTGGGGCCTGGATCTCCCTGGCCCGGCTCCCGCCATGCCTTGCACAGAGTGGGTGCCTCGTGGCTTCAGCAGAAGGGCTGGAGGGTCTGGGGGTTGCCTACCCGGGGCCTGCTCAGTCGTGATGACTGTGGTGGTGATGATGGTGGATGTCGTGGTCTCCTGGCTCTCCTCTGAGGCTGACCCGGTCAGTTCGTTCTCGCCTTTGTCCATTAAGGTCATGGGACTGGCATCTTCTGGGGGAGCCTCGGGGGCATCATCAGGCGCCTCAGACTTCCCGGGGTCGGGCCTCTGGGGGAGCGTGTGGGCCATGTAGGGCTGCGAGGTGAAGGGGGAGATCTGCAGGGGTGCGGGCGTCGTGGGGACCGCACCTGCCTTCCGGTCCAGCCAGAGGGGCTCCTCGGAGGCGGCGGGCTCGGGGTCTCCCGGGGGGCGGGGCTTCTCGGTGTCGGAGGAGAGGAGCCCCAGGCCCGAGGATGCAGGCGGGGACGCCGCCCTCTGGACAGCTGCCGTGGAGGTGGCTTTGGGCCGCAGCTGTTTCCTGACCGAGTTCACCTGCTTGAGCGAAGGCACCTTCTTCCCGGAGGGGAGGGCGCGCTTGGTGGCGGCCTCCTCCGGCAGCCGCGTGGACAGGGCGGCCGAAGGGACTGCCCCTTCTAGCTCCGGCTCTCGAAGATCTTCCCCCGACTGCGCTGGATTCAGAGGGGCCAAAGTCACTTTCTCTTCGAGGCTCTCCTTGCTCAGACCGCTGCTACTCCCCAGCGCTCCCGAGGGCAGAAGGGAAGCACCCGAAGGGCCAGTGTCTCCTTCCCGGGGCCCATCTGGGGAAGAAGAGAAAAGACACCTGTTAGCTTGGGGCCGGTGGTGGGGGTTAGGTCCTCCAGCTCCTGACGCAGGGGCCTAAGGTGGCGCCCAAAACTTGCCAAGACGCCAGGACAGACATGGGGGCTGCCCCCTTTCCTCTCTCCTGACCCTCCCTCCCTCTCCTTTTTTTTTTTTTTTTTTCTCTCCCGCTTCCTTCCTTTCTTCCTTTTGCTGACCATGGAGACTTACAGTTGATCCTGCCAGGCCCCAGCTAAGCATTAGGGTTACAGAAACCAAGGGCACAAGAGTCTCACATGCCAGTTGTATATGTACTGAAAGGGGTAAAAGGAAAGGAGAAATAATCATATTCGGTGTGATAGATGTTTAGAAAGAGAGAAGCTCTGCATGCTAACAGAGCAGAGACAACAGGCCTCTAACTCTGTGGGGCAGGATCACTGTGTACAGTTGGGCAGGTTGTTCATTACACAAACATCTCCCACGAAGGATGAGTTGTAACAAGCCCACGCTCTCTCCAAGCTGCGTGCCCTGGCTCAGGACTATATTGTCCTAGGATTGGGGGATGGCACTTCTTCTTCTTCTTTTTTTTTTTTTTACTGAATAATTAAAAATTGACCTATGGGGGACACACAAAGATTTGAAGATTCAGAATCATGAGACAGGTTCAGAACAGAGGGATGCAGGAGGAGCGTGGAGGCCTGGTTGAGGGGAGCGCAAAAGAGGAATACGAGGGGGAGCAGGTGGAGGGTGACTGGAGAGAAAGCTGGTAGGGTAGGGTAGTCGCGGGGCCAGGCCTTGCTGGGCACTGTATACCCAGCTACCTGTGGTTTATTTTTGCCTTGAATGTAAAAGCACCTAGTAATTTTATTTATTTTTTTTAAAAAGATCTTATTTATTTATTTGACAGAGAGAGAGCACGAGCAGGGAGAGCGGCGGGCAGAGACAGAGGGAGAAGCAGGCTCCCTGCTGAACAGAGAGTCCGACGCAGGACTCGATCCCAGGACTCTGAGATCACGACCTGAGCTGAAGGCAGATGCTTAACCGTCTGAGCCACCCAGCCGACCCCACCTGCTGTCAATTGCAAGCTAGTACATGGCTTTGACGTCCCCGAGCCTCGGTTTCCCCAGCTGTAAAACAGGGCTATTGCTCCCCGTTTCCCAGGGTCGTCATTGTTCAATAGGTTGACATAGGTAAAGCGTACCTGCATACGTGCACCTATGGGTGCCCCTCCCACAGTGAGTGCTTAGCGCGCGCCAACTGCTGTCACTGTCTTTGTTATTGTCACTGTATTCGCGCCCTTCAGTGGGAAGCCGGAGCGGTCAGAGCATCCCCGATGATGATCTCGAGACAGAGAGGAATTACATCCTGGGCTGGAAGCCCTGGGACGGATAGCTGTCCTTGTCGATTTTCTGCAGACAGACACTCACTCAGCCACAGTCTCTGGGCCCTTTAGCACTGTCATTTAAATTTATTTCCGCCGCCGTTGGAAAGGCTCATTTACTTTCATGGAGTCGGCCGGCAGTGGCTTAATCTATATAGACTGCAACAGTGTGCAATTGGCATCGACAAATGTTCCTGTTGGGTCACATTGATTACCAGCCAGTGTGCGTGCCAGGCTCCCAGTTGTGCCAGGGCAGGAAGCGGCCCGGGGGAGGACAGGGAGTGTGTGCCTGACCCAAGGGCAGATCAAGGTCATTCAGGGGCCCAGCAGGTTTCCTGGTCCAAGGTGGGAAGCATCGAGGCTTCAGAGATAGACTCGGATTCGAATCCTGCCTTCAACAGTCCCCTCGCTACGTGAGCCTGGGCAAATCCATTAAGCCTCTTCTGCTTAACAGAGCTACCCCATCTACCTCATAGGATTAGATCAGACGTGGGTCTGCTCCAGAGCTGTGCTTTTTGTGTGTACTGTCACTTTTATTAAATGATTGATGCTGACCATCTCTGTAGACTGTGCAGTGAGGAGAAAGTAAAGGGGCCAAAAGAGGAAGGAGGAGGAGGGGTCGGGACACCTGGCTCCCAGGCTCCAGCTGTGGTTTGATGCACGGAGCTTGGATGCACCCGGGGTTGGGGGACCCAGACGGTGTTCCAACTTTGGCCGATCTTCCCTAGCATAACCGTGTGGGTTTCGTCTTCTCTCCATCTCCTCTGTCTGTGTCAAGTGGGCAGCCAGACTAGGTCACACTAGTCAGGTCCTCCGGCTCGGACTCTGCTGATCTGGGGAACGATCAGGTAATTGGCAGTTATTCTTCGGGTCTTTTGCTAATCTTGCCAGAGAGGGTGAAGTGAGTGCTTTGATCCTGACCCTGGCTTGTGAGTTTTGTTGGGTCCTGTGGCTATATTAGTTTCTGCCAGTCCTTTCACAAAAATGTCCCCTTGATTACAAGTGACGGAGTTGAGGGAGGGGAAGGATGGAATACGAATGATTTAAAGCACATCGGCGTGCCCTTGGCCGTAATTATAGCGATACTTATAACATTTTATTTTTGATTGCTTTGCTGAGTGCTGCGTATGTGCCAGGCATGTGCTAAATGCTTTTTTACCCATTACCTCATTTTATTCTTTCTCAACCTTATTAGGGAAAAATCATTCCTATTTTACGGATGAGCAAAGTGAGGCTGTGGGATACTGAGTTAACCTTCCAAGGTCACACAGCAAAGCTGGGTTTCCAACCTCAGTTTTCCTGATGCCAAAGACCATGCTAGCAGTTCTGTTAAGTATCATGGGGTACTGTTATCACTGACAGCCTCTCATCCTTCAGCTTGAAGCGGCGGCCCCCTCCAAAGACCACCCCCCAATCCTCAATTTTTTTTTTTTTTTTGCTTTCCTGCTGGGGGGGGCGGGGCTGTAGTGTTTTTCAAATCTCCCAAATGATGCCCTTCACCCCTCCATGCGTTCCTTGTTAAAATACGCATTTGTTAGTCTCCCCTGCCAGACCCCTGACACCTGAATCTCCAGGGGTGGAGCTTGAAAGTGGAGGACTGTTAGAGCCCCTCCCATGACTCTTATCATCAGAGTGATCAGAGGAGCTCGTTCTGGAACCTGGGATCTTTCCTGACTTTCTACTCCGTCCTCGTTAGTTTTGCCTTCGAGGTGTTGTAAGTTGCAGGTGGCAGGAACCTGGGTGTAGGTCTGGGCCGCAGGTGATGACGCTTTCCAAGGCCTGTGACCTCCCCTGGCCACCCCAGCCTGTCGAGATCCAACACAGCCCACAAGAGAAGGAGGGAATGCAAGAGAAAGGGGTCCATGATCAGCTTCTTCCCCACAGCCCCTGCGCCCAGCTCTGGGTTCCCCACAGTAAAATGGGTGCTAACCATAGCAGCAATTAGGCCTTTTTGGAAGTAAATCTGGCTGGGCTGAGTCAGCTCTTTCCCACTGAAGACCTAACTGCCAAGGGGAGTTGCGGATCCACCAGGTAAATTTCCCTCCTCGCCCCCGTGTTGCCGCCTCCTCAGGGTTTACACGTGGGATCTTGCTGGCTGGCTCCAAACTCAAGGCCTTGTTCAAGACAGATGAGTGTCTGTCTGTGGGCTGCAATGTTCGCAGCTGGAAGGCCTCGTTCTCAGCCGGGATGCTGGACGAGGGAGTGCCATGCAAAACCAGGTCCCAGCGGGCATTAGTCAGAATTGGATTCCAGGGCCCTCTCAATCCAGAGACTTAATCACTTGCTCTACGCAGGCTGGCTTTTCCCTGGGGCCCCAATGACCACTGGATTAAAGGAACTCTTCTTTGTCAGAGCCTTTACAATTTTCAATCATCCTAGTCACATCTGGCTGATTCTGCCTTTATCATGTGCATTCAATGCCCCACTCCCGTGCTGCCCATCAATTAATAACTGACAGCGTTGGGTGCCGACTTTCTCTGCTGGTTGTTGATACTCAGGACGAGACAGTCAACGCTCTTGGGTACGGTCGGTCCCTGCACTACGGGAAGACAGACACACACCGATAACCCAATACGGATATCCAACAGAAGAGACGGGCCTTTAATTAAATACATAGAGAGGTTGCTTTCCCATCTGCAGATGGCACACTGAAGACGACTGAACATTTGTTCTCCCATTGAAGATGGGGAGGGAGCACCTCTCCCGTTCTCCCTCTCTCACTTTGATGGGAGAGATGGGGGAGATTAGACTGGGAAGCATCCCATTAGAGTCGAAAATGCACCACGCGCTCTGAAGGCTGACGGTTTGTATTTGAGCCGCGCGGCGGCAGCAGAATGACTGGTGACAGCCTGTCATCGCGCAGGCACACAGTGATGGAGCGGGAAGCCCGGGAAACCACAGCTGGGGAATGCTTCTGCTATAATGTGCAGTGAAAAGAGCAAGATGTAAAATTCTATGGTGTGTATGAAAACGACGGGAACAACCAACTAAAACAAATTGCAATGTAGAGCTGGTGTTTTGTTTTGCTTCGTTTTACTTAAAGCTATACCAGACTTCATTTTTGTTAAATTTTTAATTTAAACTTACAACTTTTTTTAAACTAACATACACCGTTCTATTTGCTTCAGACGCACCACATATTGATTCAACAAGTCTATGCCTTCCTCAGTGCTCACCACAATAAATGGCATCACTGTCTGTAATGTTGTTACTATATATATAATTTAGAGAGAGAGTGGGGGGCAGAAGGAGAGGGAGAATCTTTTTTTTTTTGTAAAGATTTTATTTACTTATTTAAGAGAGAGAGAGAAAGCACAAGGGGTGGGGAGGGGCAGAGGGAGAGGGAGAAGCAGGCTCCCCGCTGAGCAAGGAGCCTGATGTGGGATTCGATTCCAGGACCCTGAGATCATGACCTGAGGGGAAGGCAGATGCTTAACCGACTGAGTCACCCAGGCGCCCCTAGAGAGAGAATCTTTAGCAGGCTCCACACCCAGCTCGGGGCCTGATGCTGGGCTTGATCTCATGACCGTGAGATCGTGACCTGAGCCGAATGCTCAACCCACTGAACCACCCAGGCGCCCCTACAATATGACTGTAGGAATGGCACCAGCAACGTGG